ATGATCCTTATTTTAGTTTTTAAGTTATATGGGATTTATTGTAATATTTGTGGTGGGGAGAAGCCTCCATTTTATCTTTAGATTTTGAAATAAACATCTATTAATTCATGTTTTTCTCACTCCCCTCACATTTAAACATTCCCTAAAATAGCTCAAATAAGAGCAAGCAAACTTCTGAATGTGCATCATGGTCTTTTGTTATGAACAGAAACAAAAATCTTATATTTCCGAGATATGCAGTTCTGGGCCTTTGCCGTAAGTAAATAAAATAGTTGTCTTCCTGTGATACACATGGTACACAGTTTTCATGAATTTTTATGTGCATTTTATTTTCTGGCAAATTTCAATCATAATTATAAAACAAAAATTAAACATAATAATATGTTAAATCCAAAATCAGTTCTTAAAATTACAACCAGTACACCCCTCTCCTCCCCCACCCAAAAAAAGTACAAAATAAAATGTGTATTCTGTGCCTTTAAATATTCCAAACCATTGATAGGCAGTGCACTTTATACTAAATCAAATAACAAACCTATAAAATGACACAAGTTATCACAAGTCCCCCTGACCTCTAGACATTTTACCTTAACGCACTTCAAATTTTAAAGTTAGACTTCCAATCACGGTACATCAATGATAAAACAGAAACAATAAAATCACATGATCTCTTGCTGCACTAAAAAAGATAAAGTTCCAATCATGAGACAAACAATTCCATAATTATAAGTCAAAAACAATAAAACTGTGTTAAAGATTGATGCAATTGTACATAAGATAAGCTTCAAATAATTATCTAACAAAGACACAATTGAATTAGATCATCACTATCATCAGTACCAAGACATAACAGGCACACCCCGACTGAGTACTTATTAAGAAGTCCTTGTCAAGAAAGATATAAATGGAACAATGGGATGTATCATGAAAATAATTAACTGCTGAGATAACCCATCAACTGCAAACACAAAATATAAACTTCCATTCAAAAGACAAATAATTCCATAAAAGAAAAACAATAACACTGTGTTACTGATTGACGCAATACATAACATAAACGTCAAATTATTAACTATGAAGAATTCCATAAAGTAAAAACAACAGATATTAGATAAACACTATCACCAGTGCCATGGTACAACAGGCACGCCCTTCCTGTGCACTTATTAATAATTCCTTGCCAAAAAAGAGATAACTGTAACTATTGGATGTAGCAAGAAAATTATTAACTGCTTAGATAACTCGTCAATTGCAAACACAAAAGATAAAACTTCCAATCATGAGTCAAACATTTCCGTCAAACAGAAACAATAGAATTAGCTCTTTACTGTCATCAGTGCCATGGCATAACAGGTACGGTATGCCACAACTGTGTACTTATTTGAAAAATAACAGTTGCCAAAAAAGCTATAAATGTAACAATGAGATATACACACAACAGGAAAATCATATGAAATATATTCTCCCATTCACTGTCCTCTACTAGGGTCACACAGAGATGTTTTCACTACATATACTCACAGATATTTCTCTAGCTCATTCTGTGCACATTTCTGTACTGTTCAGAGAGAATTTCTGCACATAAATGAGGTCATCTCTCCACTGATTTCAGATAGTGTTGTGGACGTGAGGGAAGATCAAAGGAGAGAACCAATATACTGCTGAGATAACTCATCAATTGAGAATACATCAAGTATTTCAATATTTTATCTTTTCAGGCCAATGATGTTTATTTTGAAGATTGTACACACACATGCAGGCAGAGTGAAAATCTCCAATTCACCAAAATATATTACTCAAATTTAAATTATGTCATACTTACTTTCACCACTCTTTTTTTTTTCGCAATGTCTTTTGTTCTAGTTATATGTAACCAATACTTCCACAAGTGTTCTGAACTTCATATCTTTTTTAAAAATTGATATCTAACCTTGTTTTAATTTTGTTATTGATTTTCTATACAGTGAATCATTTACCTAATATAGGCAGAAATTGAAAATTAATCTTCAGCCCCACAGGGACCATATACTGCTGATCTAGAAAACTCCCCTGGGCCCAATTAATGTGTACAGGTACGAGTGTTTATATGACAGAGAGATTAGCTAGGTTTTTATATCTAAATCATTTGCTAACATAACCTACAGAAATCATACATTTTTAGAAAGCCAGTTTTTCAGGGTAAATGTGTATTTAGGATTGTGAAGTTTTGAAAACTAAATTCTTACTTGATACATGAAAAACAAAATCAAATACTGCATGATCCATAAAAACAGAAACAATAAAACTGTGTTAATGATTGATGCAATACATAGGCTTTAAATAACTATCTATCAAAGACTGCATAAAACATTAACAATAAAATTAAATCATCACTGTCATCAGTACCATGGTATATCAGGCACGTCCTGGCTGTGTACTTATTAAGAAGTCCTTGTTAAGAAAGATATAAATGTGACATAGGGATGTAGAAGGAAAATCATTAACTGCTGAGATACAGTGTAACTCATCAACTGCAAACACAAAAGACAAGCATTTCCATAAAATAGAAACAATAGGATTAGATCATCACTAATCATAAGAACCATACAGGTACACCCCGACTTTGTACTTATTTAAAATGAATCCTTTCCAAAAAAGATATAAATGTAACAATGAGATAAACACATAGCAGGAATATCATATGAAATATATTCTCCCATTCACTGTCCTCTACTAGGGTCACACAGAGATGTTTTCACTACATATACTCACAGATATTTCTCTAGTTCATTCTGTGCACATTTCTGTACTGTTCAGAGAGAATTTCTGCACATAAATGAGGTCATCTCTCCACTGATTTCGGATAGTGTTGTGGACGTGAGGGAAGATCAAAGGAGAGAATCAATATACTGCTGAGATAACTCATCAATTGAGAATACATCAAGTATTTCAATATTTTATCTTTTCAGGCCAATGGGGCTTATTGTACAAAGACATGCAGGCAGAGTAAAAAACTCCAATTCGCCTTAATATATTACTCAAATTCCAATTATGTCACAACCAGTACCCCTCCAATAAAAAAAGGAATGGTCAAAACGAAATGAGCATGCGGGCCATTAAATATTTTAAGTCACTCATATGCAGTACAGTTTATACTTGACTCAAATAACAAATGTGTCTAATGACATGTTATCACAATCCCTGACCTTCAGATATTTTACCTTAATGTACTTCAAAAGTTAGACTTCCAATCATAGTCCATCTATGATGAAACAGAAACAATAGAATCACATGATCACTGTATCTACAAAAGATAAACTTCCAATCATGACACAAACAGAGACAATAAAACTGTGTTACTGATTGACGCAACATATGAGGGGTTTCATTAAACAGAAACAATAGAATTAGATCATCACTATCATCAATGCCATGGTATAACAGGCACGCCCCGCATGAGTACTTATTAATAATTCCTTGCCAAAAAAGATATAACTGTAACAATGGGACGTAGCAAGAAAATTATTAACTGCTTAGATAATTCATCAATTGCAAACACTAAAGATAAACTTTCAATCATGGCACAAACATTTCCGACAACAGAAACAATAGAATTTGCTCCTTACTGTCATCAGAACCATGGCAACAGGTATGTCCCAACTGTGTACTTATTTAAAAAATCACCCTTGCCTAAAATATATAAATGTAACAATGAGATATAGACACAACAGGAAAATCAGATAAAAATAGTCTTCCATTCACTATCCTCTAATAGGGTCTCACAGAGATTCTTTCACTACATACTCACATACATTTCTTTAGCTCATTCCGTGCTCATTTCTGTGCTGTCCAGAGAGATGTTTTGCACAGAAATGAGGTCATCGCTCAGCTGATTTCTGGTAGTGTCGAAGATCAAGGGAGAGAACCAATATACTACTGAGATAACTCTTCAATGGGGCTATACGCGGAGCCGTTTGTCCTAAAGAGGGCGCTGGGGTAATAGTGGTTATTGAAGATAGCCTCGTTTTCGCGTCCGTGTAGAAATGGCTTTAGAGTACGGAAAGCAAACGGTGCGAAGTTAAAACTTCAACTAGTTGAAAGAGGAGCCTCCACAAGAGGAAAGAAACAGGATTTGATAGAAAGGTTAGTGTATTTACTTATAAATGTGTCAGCTGTATCACTAACATTGAAGGTTTCGCGCTCGAATCTTCCCGTAAAATATGGGTTTCTGTGTGAGCTCCCTGTCAAAAGCCAGGTGTAAGCGGCGGCTAGTTCCGCACTACTTATATGCCTAATTTATTACTATATTCCAAGAAAATAATATTGTCATTGCATATTTCCATATCCCGAGAATATAATGAAGGTATTTATGTTTAAAATATGTTTATTGTAGGCACTCCTAGTCGATAAAGGACCGTTCGTTTCAGTAATCAAATTTCGTGTACCAGGTCCGACATTTAACACGACTTGTGTCAACGCAAATTTGTAAGGGAAAAACAAGGCCTGATGCGTGTTTTATGTCAATGACAGTTGACATAACTAAGTGTAGATGAGGTAGACAATCTAAACAGTGTTTGCCAAGAATGTTAGCATCGTTTTGTTAACATCATTGTTTTTTTTCACTCCCTCATAACCTTGCATTGATGTTGGTAGGTCAAAGAGAAGGACGTGTCAGAACTTGAAAACAGAACTAGAGGCCAAAGTAAAGGTCGAGTGTGGCATGAAGAAAGATCATGGAGAATAACAGCATCGAGGTAGGTGTGCAAACGAAAATAAGTTTGCTAGTTTTTTACTTGTTCAAATGTCTGGTATCAATGTCATGTCATAGCTTGAGCTACTATGTACCTGTAGTTGCATTATAGTACAGAAATACAAGGTGTGAGATGATATATCATGGTTTGAAGGTCACAATTTAATGCTGTGAATGTACAATTTCATTTTGCATTTGAAATACAAATTGAAAAGAACAGTTAAAAAAACAATCTCATTAATTTAATTTTATTTTTTAGGTTTGGTGATATTTTGAATGCAACCGAAAGACAAGGACAAATTATGCCAGTCACTCTTGTTTACCCATGAAGTCAATACTCCATATTTCTTAAATTTTACAGGCATATAGTCGTCAACAATGTCACGTTCTGGCTAAATGTTCATTTCACTGAGCTGGAAAAACAAAGTTGATCCATGTGCGTTTTATTTCTGACACCGTTGTTACCGATAGCTTGAAACGGTCAAAATGCATAATGGTCAAAAAACACTGGTCCTCTGGTGACAAACATTTGAAATTCAAGCAGTGAGCTGCTGGTCCAAGGCAATTGAAAAACAACATGAAGTGTTCAAAATGACTAAATCCAGTTAGATACTGGACAGCCTTTGCATTTTGCTGGTACAGCATGATGCTTTCTCTTGTGTCTGATGATGTACTGATATCACACTGGGAAGCTGTACTTTCTTTTTGGCTCTCAGCAGGGCAGTCTTCATGTTTGTCTTCCACTGCTTCATCTGCTTGAGACTCAACCTATAGGATACAACAAAAAATAAATACATAAGTTAATAAATTACACAAAGAAAAATACTTCATGTATTAATTAACACATAAAATCGGTGTAGATGACAGAAATGACGCAGATCTGACTGCCTCTTGTCCCCTTTAGTCCGTCTCTCGTATTTTTAGTATTTACACAGATAATTATACAAATAAAAAGAAACATTTTATTTTTAAATCTGTTATTATATCATGCGTTATATTTACCTCCATGAATATAATCAGGAGCTGTTAGTAGGCCTACTGTCACCGGATCTGATTCTTCGCAGCGTTTAGCTAGACGGCTGATGATAGTACGTCTTTCACTTTATTAAATGGAAATATGGTATCGTTCCTGGCTTCAGTCTTTTTCTCTCATCTGCAAAAGGAGTGCACATAACGATTACTAATACAATTAAAATCAAGTTGTCTTAATTTGAAAACGTGGCCTTTAAAAAACCTCATGGATTATCATATAAAAACGAAGAAATAATTGTATTGGCTGGTCGGGGTTGACCCGGGCTCGGTAGCTTAGTCGTAGAGTGTTTCCCCCCCCCCCCCCCCCCCCAAATCGCTACATAATGTTAGGTGAAGAATGTCTTAAAATTAACATTCTAAGCACGTTACACGATATAATTACTTAAACATCGATAACAAAGACCTAATGAATAAGTTGACAAACTCATTATTAATACTAAAAGCGACAACAGCAAGTACAACTTACGTAGAAGTGTAATCTTCCTCACGAAAGTGGAGGAAACAGACTTTGTCATGTGCCTTTGGTTTCCATAGTGTTTTTGATGTAGAATCAACCCTCCTGATGGCAACTCTCCACTGGTAACTTTGCTTTGTGTCTTTCGGAAAGAATGACCTCCTGTTGACGATGTACATTCCAGAACACAACAGTATCCTGGCATTATTTAGAGCGATATTTACAGCGTCAGATTAAAAATGAAACTGCAAACACACGAGAAAGTACGCGCATGCGCAAAAGTACCCCGACTAAAACACGTGCGCCACCCAGTGGTGAAAAAAACTGATAGCCCCAATTGAA